CCATTTGTACGAGTTACTGTAAGTAAGGACGCGACACCTGTATTATTACCCAATTGATTTGATATTTAGTTTATCTCCTTTGATCCCCACTGCCATCTAGTGGCCATTATGCAGTTTTTGTTTTTTTAATACCTTCACATTTAGTCCTTAGATGGCGCTCAAGATCAGAGGAGATCATTATATTACACAGGATACAGCAAGTTTCATCAGGGCTTTGTGGGTGTTTGTCACATTCATTCGGCATACTTTTTATACATAGACCCATTGGAAAGCTCCTCGCCCCACCATGACCAATGAATGAATGACTCATTGGCATGTCAAATCAATAGTGTGTAATGAGCCCACCTGAATACACATTGTTGATACGTACAAATCAGCTCTGAGCAGCTGCAGCGGCCAGTAGGGCCATTGTACACTGTATGCTGGTATGCAAGTCAATTACAGCCAAAGATATAGCTCTTGGTGCACCCATATCGAACTTTTTTCGACACTGCTAAAGGTAGCGCGGATTGACCCTGCAAGCTGTGTGTAGGGGCCTATATGCTTCATTAGTGCTACACGCTGTATGCGTCTGAATGTAGTGTATTCTACAGTCATGTGAATGACCCCCAAAGGGTCCTTTGGCTCCCAGGCTTTGTCTGGATAGGATGTGAGTACAGAGGATCCTTGCCTGGTGAGGATGTGTGTTTAGCAGAGTCCAGTCCTAGCCTCCCAGACTATTATCTGCTCCTTATTACCAGGGGGAGGAAGATGAAGCTAAAAAAAGTTCTGTACAGTTTCAGATAGTTGCCCATCTGGACTTAAAGGTCCTCTACTGGACTGTGAACGAGTTCTGAGGAACCCTAACCTGGTCTGTCGCAGAGATTGAAGATACCTAAATGTGGTTGCCCGTCTGGGCCTAAAGATTTCTATATTTGCCTGTGGCAGAGGCATAAAGAGTTGTACAGTCGCCTGGGGCATAAAGTTACTAGAGCAACCTTACTCAACATTTTTATCTTAGAGCAGCCATTCTCAACCAGGGTTCCTCAAGTTTCAGATAGTTGCCCATCTGGACTGTGAACGGGGTCTGAGGAACCCTAACCTGGTCTGTGGCAGAGGTTGAAGATACTTAAACCTGGTTACCCGTCTAGGCCTAAAGAGTTCTATATTTTCCTACAGCAGAGGCATAAAGAGTTGTACACTCGCCTGGGGCATAAAGTTACTAGAGCAACCTTACTCAACATTTTTACCCTAGAGCAGCTATACTCAACCAGGGTTCCATGGAACCCTAGGATTCCTCAAGTTTCAGATAGTTGCCCATCTGGAATAAAAGGTCCACTACTGGACAGTGAGCGAGGTCTGAGGAACCCTAACCTGGTCTGTGGCAGAGGTTGAAGAAACCTAAACGTGGTTACCTGTCTCGGCCTAAAGAGTTCTATATTGCAGCAGAGGCATAAAGAGTTGTACACTCGCCTGGGGCATAAAGTTACTAGAGCAACCTTAATTAACATTTTTATCCTAGAGCAGCCATTCTCAACTAGGGTTCCTCAAGAGGTTGCTAGGGGTTCCTTTGAACTTTGGCTGTTGGACTTCTCATCTGATGGTGTCAGCAGAGTTCCAGGACCAACATCACTTGGCAAGGCAGCAGCATGACACCAATGATCTTATGATGATCAGTGATTTGACTATCTTTATAGATGGCATTCTGACCACCCCTGTAAGGACTCATGCACACTGCTGCTCCTAAACTCATGTTTTTTGAAGCTTCTGGCATTTTGTTTTGCCAAAGCCCATGAACTCAACTCAATAAAAGCCTATGTGTCCCTGCACACATAGGCTTTTTCCATAGTTTAGGAGCAGCAGCGTTTAGGCCCCTTTCACACTAACGTTACGATTGGGTCCACCTGCCCATTTTTCAGGCGGACCCAATCTGATCCGATCCACCAAAAAAAGAATGATGGTGATCCATTCCCCTTCCATCCGTCAGATCGGATGGCAGTCAGATAGAAATGGTCCGTTTTCTTCCAAATAAATAAATTATTTATTCTGGCCAATGAAATGATTAAACACCCAAGCGCCTTGACCAGCATCAAGTGTTTTTTTTTTGCTTCAGGAAAAAAATGCCCACTGTACATGAACCCTAAAGGGAGCATTCTTCCTATTGACCACCATTGTAAGAGGCATTTTTCCCAGTGAGCCCAGATGAACTGGTTTTAGTTTGGGTTCCCCAAGGCTTTAGCAATTATTTTAGGGATTCCTTTGAGGTAAAAAGGTTGAGAAAGGCTGCCCTAGAGGAACCCTTGAGATTATTTCCAGGTCTCGGAGTACCCTTCCCTAAACAACATCAGTGGGAAACATGCCCTTTACATTAGTGGTCAGTAGGAAGAATGCACCCCAAAAGCTAAAAATATTATTGATGTCATGCCACTGGAGTTAGCCCTGGAACTATGCAGGCTCTGAGGAAGAAGAGATCTCCCTTCGAAACACAGCAGCTGAACTTTGAGAGTCTCCTCTCTTGGTGGGATTCGCACTGGTCTTGCACTTCAATGTTCCTTTTAGGATTTTATACGCCTTTTATACTGCTTTGTTTGTGAATATATATCTCATTTTAATAAAATTAGAGCTTTTTATTGAGGTAATGCGCAAGGTTGGTGTGCTTTCTATTTCTTTTCACTCAGTATTGGTAGGGCTTCCCCAGCCTTGTTAAGAGCTGCACAACCTTTGATCCATTGGTGGATGAACTTCCTTAGTGGTCGATCCATCAACCCACCCTTGATCTGGGTCCCTGAGCCCAGGAGGTGTTGTTTCTGTTTCTACTATGCAGGCACCAACAAATAGGAGGTCAATCAGCCACAGCTCAAGGAACTCCTAGCAAGCTCTGGAGGAACGTTCATTGAGAATGGCTTTACTGGAGGATACTACTGAGCAGAGGGACTTTCTGAATCTGTTTTGGGGTACTCCATACCCCTTTCTTTCTAAGGCCTTTTCCAGGGGTGGCCAGTGAAAACAGGAGGTCGAGGCAGTTTTACTACCCCCCGACTGCTAACCTGAAACCTACACATACCTTGCGTCGTAGGCCCCGGCAAATGTAACAGGATATGTCAAGTCGACAAAAGGCACAACTTGTCAAACTCATCAATGGGACCGTGTCACAACAGTGAGCTAAACGCTTGGCTAGTGGTAGAGGTGCATTAGTCTCAATATAAATTGGCACAGGGCTGCCTCCTGAATGCATGGAAGTCGCAGCTCAGCCACCCCCCAAAAAATAATGCATGGCAGATCACTTTTCAGATAGTGCTTTAGAGTGATCTCATCCTCTGACATTCGCTCATCCATTTTGCCGAAGAAGACTGGAGGCCTTGAAGTCTCTCTCTGATCATTGCCGTCAGCGGTTTGGGGGCAGCAGCATGGCAAATCTCCGGTTGGGAAAGAGGAGAGCCCATTAAAAATCCAGTAACACCTTCAGGAATCGTTGTTCCACCCATTTCATCCAAAATGTGAAAAAAAAAGATGCAAGTAATAAAACACACTTGCATCATCAACAATCATGCTTTTTCACGTGCTGCCATTATCACCAACAGGCCCTATAATGCTCCTCGATCGCAAAATGGACAATGCAAGTCAATGCAATGGTTAACCCGTGTATCGGCATTGAGGGGCTGAGGTGACCATAAACATTTGCACCATATGAAATCACAACTGCCATTTTTTGTAAAAGATTCTATGGGTCCCCTCCTTTCAAGAATTTTATAGGCATGGGGGGCTACAAGGGTTGATTTTCGAACGATCTTTCGTTCGAAAATCGGACCCAAGAATAATCAGCTGATTTTTGCTTTGTGGCACCAGATGATTATCGTGGTTCCTCCCCATTTCGTTTATCGGGCATGCTGGAAAATTTGTGAAAAATGACCGATTTTCGAAATCATTGGGACATTCTTCCCACTGGCCACCAATGTAAGGGGCAATTTTCCCACTGACCTCCGGTGCATTGGTTTCAGCAAGGGTTCCTCAAGGCTTGCAAATTATTTCAAGGGTTCCTATGATGTAAAACAGTTGAGAAAGGATGCATTCGAACAACCGCAAGAGCTCAATAGCCAGTTCAATGCATCCACTGTAGGGCAGCACAGAGGCTAAATGGTTAGCTCTTCCGCCTGGCAGTACTAGGGTTGTTGATTTAGAATCCCACACCACCTGCCTGGTGTTTGTATGTTCTCCCTGTGCCTGCATGGGTTTTCTCTGGGTACACTGGTTTCCTCCCACACTCCAAAGACATGCTGGAGGTTCATTGACTCCTGTCTAAATTGGCCCTAGTATGTGTATGTATGAATGTGAGTTAGGGATCTTAGATTGTACACCCCTTGAGGGTTAGGGACTGATGTGAATGTACAATATATATGTAAAGCGCTGTGTAAATTAACGGTGCTCTATAAATACCTGTAATAAATAAATAATATAATGAACATTTCAGCATGTGTGTGAAAAATTGTCCAGAAATGAAAGGGTGAACACTCTACTACTGCTTGCTGAGCCAAAGCCAACCCCTCCCACTTTTCTCCTTTGAGCTACAACAAAATGGCTGCCTCCTGCACTGAGGACAACTCAAGAAATACACTTAATTATATAAGTTTTTACAAATGAAACCGTTTATTTTTCCAAGAAAAAAAATCCAGTCTCTTTTTTTACATAAAACTCTTTTTAGTTCTATAAATAAAGTGTACAAGAGCAGGACAACCGTCTTTGATGGGAGAGCAGGAAGTGTCTTCAGAGCAGGGGGAATGGTGGACATTTTCTTGTAGCTCACTTGTTAGCTCTTGTACACTTTATTTATAGAGCTAAAGAGAGTTTTATGAAAAAAAACCAGACTGAAATTTTTTTTCTTGGAAAAATAAATGGTCTCATTCATAAAAAATGTATATAATTAAGTATTTCTTGAGTTGTCCTCAGTGCAGGAGGCAGCCATTTTGTTGTAGCTCAGAGGAGAAAGGTGGGAGGGGTTGTTGTAGTTCAATAAGCAACTTCCTGATGTGAAGCTGGAGAGTGTGTTCCCAGTGAGGAGGTAATGATGACGATAATAATAATATATATATATTTTTTTAGAGGAGGAAGAAAGAGGGGGGTGTCAGAGCTCTGTGTGGACTGGATGAGGGGGGATTATGTCACCTCTGCAAATCATTATTTTCCTGCAAGTCCTCTGATGTATTTATTATTGGTACTTGGGTATATAGTACACAGTGCTTTAGATATGTAGTGTACTGTGTACAATTGAAGGTCCCATACACATAATAGGGCCAATTTGGACAGGAGCCAATTAACCTACCAGCATGTCTTTGGAGTGTGGGAGGAAACTGGACTTCCCAGAGGAAACTCACGCAGGCACAGGGAGAACATGCAAACTCCAGGGAGGTGGTGGTGTGGTTGGGATTTGAACCAATGACCTGAGTGCTGTTAGGTGGAAGTGCTAACCACTTAGCCACTGTGCTGCCCTGGTGTAGTATATATTAGATAGGGAGCTCTGCTGAAACTGTAGATGATCACATTGGGGAATTCACTAACCTGTGTCTTTGCTATCTAGACCGACCCAGCCGCTTTCTAGGCTAGGTTCACGCTACCACGTGTCAGGACCGCACACAAAACCCATCCCAACACGCACAGAAACCCACCCCAACACATCCTCCAATGCGCTCATTTTATTGCGCCTGTTGTGCGGCACATTTTTAGAAAAGGTTCTGGGACTTCTTTTTGTGTTTCTCTTGCATAGGTCAGCCCATTGAAATGAATAAGCTCCCCTACACGCAACGGTGATCTCATCCACTTCCTATCTAGCGACAACAGTGGACCATACGCATGTAGTATTTATTGAAATGGCCATTTGTAGCTTCCATCGGAAGCCCGTGTAACGGGGTGACAACACAGGAGCACAATTAACAGGGAAAAAGCATTCTCAACCTTAAACAGGAAGTGCCCGAACAACAGCAATGCCTACTTGTGCTTTCTATCATGGTATGAGGAATGTGACGTGGGAGTATAGTTTTTTGGCAGACCGGTTACCTTAGGCTACTTTATGTTGGCCAAAATTTAATTTGTTGATATTACTTGGAGTATATTGAGAGTGTTGGCTTTTAATATTTTTTTATTACAGGTACTTATATAGTACTATTAATTTACACAGGACTTTACATGTATAACAAATTCACATCAGTCCCTGCCCTCAAGGCACTTACAATCTAAGGTCCCTAACTCACATTCATACATACACATACTGGGGCCAATTAACCTACTAGCATGTCTTTGGAGTGTGGGAGGAAACCCACATAGGCACAGGGAGAACGGGGAGAGCTGCTGGTAGGTGGTGCCGTGGTTGGGATTTGAACCAGCAACCCTAGTGCTACCAGGTGGAAGTGCTAACCACTTAGCCACTGGGCTTCCATCTCTGCTTCCAAGCCATATAATCAAAGCCACATGAACTAAAGGTATTCCAATATTGCATGTAAGTTATTCCTCACTAATAGAATATCAGAAGGCTGAAATTGTTCATCTTCATAGGTAGCATTATTCATTCTTTTACAGCCTGGGCGAGCTCAGATTGTCATGGAGTTATCTTCCTGAGCGCAGACATCTGACAGAACTTTGCAGGTCAAGTGAAAAGTTCGAGTCCAAGGATCAGAAGAAGGACCTCTTGATGGAGAACCAGCCGCCATTCACAAATTCAGAAACAGGTACATGAAGTTATTAGCAGCCAAGAGACGTGACCAGTCTCCCCCCCCCCGCACACACTCTCTGGAGTCTCTCATACATCATGGAGTTATCTTCCTGAGCACAGACATCTGAGAACTTTGCAGGCCAAGTGAAAAGTTAAGAGTCCAAGGATCAGAATTTATTATCAGCCAAGAGACATGACCAGTCTTCTCCCACACACACTCTCTGGGGTCTCATACATCTCAGTACAGGGGGCTTCACTCTCCTCTTTATTTACAGACCCCGGAGGCACCAGAGAGACTTGGAGAGATGTCAAAGCTGAGGAGGAGACAGAAGGGCATGTGAGGGTTAAAGTGGAGGAAAATCCTATACCGATCGGCATTGGTAAGTAATAAACACTAAATCCTGAGAAGAGTCCCAGATCCTCCTTGTTCAGTCACTACAACAATCCCTTCTTCTCTCCCCTCCTCTGTCAGTAGACAGTAATGTGCCAAGTGGGGGGGGGGGGGGGTCAGGAGCCATCAGCCTCTATTAGACTCCGGCTCTCCTCCACATCATGTTTTTGAGACGTGACCAGTCTCCCCCCCCACACACACACACTCTCTGGGGTCGCTCATACATCTCAGTACAGGGGTCTTCACTCTCATCTTCCTTCACAGACCCTGGAGACACCAGAGACACTGAAAGAGATGTCAAAACTGAGGATGAGGAAGAACATGCGAAGACTGAAGTGAAGGAAATTCCTTTGGGGATCGACACAGGTGGGCAATAAAAGCTACATATAGAATATGACTAAGGACTTGCCTGAGTCAATAGAATGATCCTTTCTTTTGCCTGTCAGGAACTTTAATCAATTAAGAATTTGAACTGGGTGAGATCAACATGATTGGAGGACAGGATGGGGTTCTCATCACACACTAGGTGTCATGAGAACCCAAGAGCCAGTAGTGCAATGCGCAAGCCATGGGGCTCCCTTATTTCTACCCTTACTGCTTCCCACTCAGCTGCCAAGAGGTATTTGGTCCCTTCTCTGTTGAATACCTCTGAAAACTGAACATGGTGGACATGGACAGCTTAGCTTTGTGAGGGTGTTGGTTGCGAGGCTTCATATTAGCAGTCAAACATAATGTTGTCTTGATGTTTAATTGGACCAAAATTCTCCTTCTAAACATTCATATAATTCTTTGTTTCCTCCAGATGGGCAATACAACCGAGAGAAACCAAGAGGTCCATCAAATCATCTCTCCAGGCAGTGAAATCAATTATAATGATGTGACGTCTGATTCTTCAGAAGAAAGCCCTATTACACCGATTCTTCATCCAGTACTTCAAAGTGTTGATCTATCGCCTGACCTCTCTACTCATAGTGGGGGTTTTCCTCATCCTTCTTCTCTGATCAACCACCATGGAGCTCAAAGGGAAGGTACAATTTATTCCAAGCATGTTGAATGTTTTGACCGAAAGGAGGAGCTCACTTCACGCCAGAGATCTCAGGAACGAGAGAAGCCATATCCATGTTCAGAATGTGGGAAATGTTTCTCTCGTAGATCGCACGTTATCACCCATGAAAAACTTCATACCGGGGAGAAACCTTATTCATGTTCCCAATGCGGGAAATGTTTTACTCGTAGAGACAATCTTTTAATTCACCAGAGGTCTCACACGGGGGAAAAGCCATATTCATGTGTGGATTGTGGAAAATCATTTAGCGGCAGAGGCAGTCTTCTTATACATCAGAGAACGCACACTGGGGAGAAGCCATATTCCTGTTTGGAATGTGGAAGGTGTTTTTCCCAAAAACGGGAAGTCATTAGACACCAGAGGACTCACACTGGAGAGAAGCCATATAGTTGTCGTGAATGTGGGAAACGTTTTTCTTTTAATTCGGATCTTACAAAGCACAAAAGGGTCCACACGGGGGAGAAACCGTATCCGTGCTCTGAGTGCGGGAAGCGTTTTTCGCACAAAGGAAATCTCGTGTCCCACCAGAAAACCCACACGGGGGAGAAACCCTATTCATGCTCTGAATGCGGAAAATGTTTTTGCCAGAAAAAGGAGCTTATTATACACCAAAGAACTCACACGGGCGAGAGACCTTTTTTCTGTCCTGAATGTGGGAAGGGTTTTTCTCAGAAAGGAAACCTCATCACGCATTCGAAGACCCATGCCGGGAAGACGCCATATTCAAGTCCTTGATGCGGAGAACATTTAACTGAAGGATTGAGGGTTGGTAGACGATATAATGAGAATGAAGGAGATGTTTTTACGAGAGTCAACTCTTAAACATGAGAAGTTCATATGAAGAGGGCGTTTCCATGGTGGAAATATAGTTGTTTTACCTTGGGGGGGGGGGGGGGGGGGACTGGAACTTGGCGAATTGTTTGACATTTAAAGAGTAACTTCCATTGAGACCAAACCGTTTTTTGGTTTTAGTTAGAGAGTGGAAGAGTTTACAGGGGTGTCAAACTGGCGGCCCTCTAGCTGTTGCAAAACTATCCCATCATGCCTCTGCCTTTGGAAGTCATGCTTGTAACTGTCAATCCTGCAATGCCTTGTGAGAATTGTAGTTTGGCAACAGCTGAAAGGCCGCCAGTTTGACACCCATGAGTTAGAACATCTGTCAGTTTTGATTGACAGGTACAGTATACATCGTTGACGTATGTGACTCAGTTGGATTTCCCTTCACATACTAAGAAATGAAGGGTAGGAAGCGGTCACTGAAACAGAAAGTCACCAATGGAAGGTAAGAGCTTGGACAAGGTTCTGATCCTTCTCAATGCTACTGTCTTTGTCTGTATTGGAGAGATTTCCCATCAGTTTTCTGGAACAGGAAGTAAAAGGAAATCTCCCCAGTGGAGTCACAGGCAGAAAAAAAAAACCCAAAGGTGCTAGTTCTTCTCACCGTGTCCAAAACTTTTACCAACTTTTGGCTGGAGTTTGGTTTTTTACTAATAAACAAATATAACACTATCAGTTTCATCAAAATTATTTTTTTTAATTTTACTCAAAAATGTCCTTCTTTGCACTAGTGGATCTGTTTTATCAGTAAATCTGGGGATAGCAATAAATTAAGATGGAGCCGACAACATATGGTGCCAGAAGCCTTCTAATAGTACAGGAGGCCTTCAAAATATCCCGACTTCTGAGGCATGAAGAGTTTCGGTAATCGTATTCTATAGTATGTGTCTGACCGGTCTATCTTCAGGCCTGATGATTGTAACACTCACCTCTCCTGGGATCCAGCGTTGGGGCTTCTCTCTGGCTTGAGGCTGATGAGACAACTGGTTTCATCTGGAGTGCCGGCTCCATGGCTAATTAGGAAACAACTTTTCGTCATTGATGCTCGCAGAAAGGGCCAGGCAATGCACCAACACCCCCATGCCTCCAGTGCCTGTTTCCCAGTTTACATCTCTGTCCTTTGAGCCAAGCACCCTAGCCCTTCTCCCACCTTGTGCTGCCAATACCCCATGTCTACTAGTGCACTCTGTGCCCACGTGTTTCTAAATGTGCTCGGAATTCCAGGTCTGCCCTTGTGCCTCCAAGTGCACTCCTGTGTATGCCGTATCTTCAAGTGCACCTCCTTTGCACCTCGTGTCTCCAAGCGCGCTCCAATCTGGCCTGTGGCACAGGCCAAGGAAATTGAAAGGTAGTCACCTGTCCAGGCCCACAAAGTCTACATTAGCCTGAGACAGAGGCATAAGAAGTTCTACAGCTGATCTGTGGTAGGAAATTTAAAAGTAGTCACCTGTCCGGGCCCACAAAGTCTACATTAGCCTGAGACAGAGGCATAAGAAGTTCTACAGCTGATCTGTGGTAGGAAATTTAAAGGTACTCCCCTGTCCGGGCCCACAAAGTCTACATTAGCCTGAGACAGAGGCATAAGAAGTTCTACAGCTGATCTGTGGTAGGAAATGTAAAGGTAGTCCACTGTCCGGGCCCACAAAGTCTACATTAGCCTGAGACAGAGGCATAAGAAGTTCTACAGCTGATCTGTGGTAGGAAATTGAAAGGTAGTTACCTGTCTGGGCCCACAAAATTTTACATTCGCCTGAGACAGAGGCATAAGAAGTTCTACAGCTGATCTGTGGCAGGAAATTGAAAGGTAGTCACCTGTCTGGGCCCACAAAGTCTACATTAGCCTGAGACAGAGGCATAAGAAGTTCTATAGCTGATCTGTGGTAGAGATGAAAAAAAGTACTGGAAAATAGTCCATCTGGGCCTACAGACTTCTTTAGAGAAGTCCTCTTCTCAGTAGACTTCTTCTTTGAGAAGTCTACTGAGTGGGATCTGAGAGGGGTTTTGCTGCTGTTTTTGGGTATCCTGTACCCCAAGACATTTAAGCTGAGAAGAAAAGGATTGGAGGATCTAGTCTGTTTGTTGCCATTGGTGGGATGATGAGTTGTTTGGGTGCAGCTACTTGGCAGGTCACCATTAGGAAGGCTATCAGAGCTAGCAAGGCTAGGGGTTCATTGCTAATTTCACTACAGAAGTCTGCCAATTTTCAACCACTTTCCACTGGCTTTATGTGGCAGAAATGACCCAACGGATGAAGACAACTCTCCAAGGACAGTTGCAACTACAACAAAAAAATATCAAAACTGTCGCTGGTGGGTAGCCTTCACTCATTTTGATGTTCTTTGCGATTGAAAGCTGTCCGACATTGCTAGAACATGGCTACATGTACAGATTACTACTTCGGTGTTGGTCTTGCGATCAGGAGGTCCTTTGGAAAGATCTGGAATTCAGCATTGGAATCGTGAACGGGATCTGGCATGGCAGGACTTGCATTAATAGTTGCATCCTGGGTTTCCCTTCTCTGATCCCTCCATACTGTTCAGGGATAATGTGTTCCTGTAAACGGCGATCGCACCACACGTGAGGTATCTTCGAGAACGTTAGATCAAGAACGATAATTCTAGACCCCAGACCTCCTGGACAAGTCTAAACTGGTAACCTGTAAAGGTGTTTTAAGTGCCCACTATGGAGAAATGTAACTGCTTCCCAGAACTACTGCTACAGGACGGCGCAAAATCACGTATATATATACGTGATTTTGTATTTACGTGCAGGGTGTGTGCACTGCTCTACCCGTGCCGCCATTGGCAACTTCAGCTGTCAATCACCGGATCCTGGCCGGAGATTCCCTGCCGACACCCAGCTATCACTGAGAAACACTGATGGGAGAGGTCTGTATGTAAACAATACAAATCTCTCTCCTGTCAGCTCCAGCGTGCTGCTTGGTATGGCTCTGCATGGCACAGCCATACAAAGCAGCATGTTTACAGTGAAACACACACACAGCACACAGTTAACCCTTTGATTGTCCCAGATGTTAACCCCTTCCTGCCCAGTGCCATTAGTACAGTGTCAGTGCTTTTTATTAGCACTGATCACTGTATTGGTGTCACTGGGGATGTCAGTGGCAGTTAGTCAGTCCCCCCCCCCCAGTGTCAGAATGCCCACCGCAGTCCACTGATCGCCGTCATTACTAGTATAAAAAGAAAAAAATTCCAGTATCTATACCGCACTTTGTAGACGCTATAACTTTCACATAAACCAATTAATTTACACGTATTGGGATTTTTTTCTTTTAACCAAAAGACATGGAGCAGAATACGTTTTTGCCTAAATTTATGAAGAAATTAGACCTTTTTTTTGTTTTTTTATTTATTAGGTATTTTACAGAAAAAAGTAACAAAAATATATATACAGTCAGGTCCATAAATATTGGGACATCGACGTAATTCTACCATTTTTGGCTCTGTACACCACCACAATGGATTTGAAATGAAACGAACAAGATGTGCTTTAACTGCAGACTGTCAGCTTTAATTTGAGGGTACAGTTTGCATATGTGCCTCCCACTTGTTAAGGGACCAAAAGTAATGGGACAGAATAATAATCATAAATCAAACTTTCACTTTTTAATACTTGGTTGCAAATCCTTTGCAGTCAATTACAGCCTGAAGTCTGGAACGCATAGACATCACCAGACGTTGGGTTTCATCCCTGGTGATGCTCTGCCAGGTCTCTACTGCAACTGTCTTCAGTTCCTGCTTGTTCTTGGGGCATTTTCCCTTCAGTTTTGTCTTCAGCAAGTGAAATGCATGCTCAATTGGATTCAGGTCAGGTGATTGACTTGGCCATTGCATAACATTCCACTTTCTTTCCCTTAACTACTTGCCAACCGCAGATAGCCGAATGACTGCTACACTGCGGCTGGCTAGTTCTGGGAGGGCGTCATATGACGTCCTCCCAGAATGCGCTCAACTGCGCGCCCCCAGCGGCGCGCACCCGGCAATCTCCATGATCGCTGTGTCCTACACTGTGTTCTATGCTGTGTCTTACGCTGAAAATTGGCCTGGTAAAGAAGGGGGGTATAAGTGCCTGGTAGGCAAGTGGTTAAAAAAACTCTTTGGTTGCTTTTGCAGTATGCTTTGGGTCATTGTCCATCTGCACTGTGAAGCGGCGTCCAATGAGTTGTGAAGCATTTGGCTGAATATGAGCAGATAATATTGCCCTAAACACTTCAGAATTCATCCTGCTGCTTTTGTCAGCAGTCACATCATCAATAAATACAAGAGAACCAGTTCCATTGGCAGCCATACATGCCCACGCCATGACACTAATACCACCATGCTTCACTGATGAGGTGGTATGCTTAGGATCATGAGCAGTTC